AGTGGATGTTCTTGATTTTGCACTTTTACAACAATTCATTAATTTACCAACGTCAAAAGCTTCCCTACAGTTCTTTTATTAAAATATTTTTGTGTTTATGTGTCTGAAGTGCAAATTTCGGCTTTTGATGCAAACGATTAAGAAATAGGTTACCATAAAATGCCCACCAAAGTGAGAAGACGAAAAGTCGACATCCGGGGCTATAACCAAGTTGGTGGACCACTTTCGGTTCACCTAGGTGAGTTGGCCAAAAATCCTGATCCCAAACCAACCACGAGGAGGCGTACAAACCACACCCACACCTTTTCGGTTGTGGCAGTGGTCACTGGCTTGATTGGGCACTTTGGACGTTTGACCCCGTCCGAAGGGTGAATGATCCGATGAACTGGACACCGGCTCCCAATGGACTGCGGTTTTTACACACCATCCCGCTGCTTTGCGGGCCAGGCTTTAACTAGCCGAAGGCTCCGGTTGTGGATTCCTCAAGAAAGTTTATCTGCCTTGGCTTGGGTAACCTGACAGGATTCAGTCCAAAAGCCAATCATGGAACGTTTTTTCTTTTTATAAAGGTTATCGTACCATGATTTGCCTGGCACACAGTCTGTCCTCAGACAAATGTAATATATATATATATATATATAGAGAGAGAGAGAGAGAGAGTTGGTGGAGTGGTCACTTTTGTCAACTCACGTGAGTATGACAATACTCAAATAATGTTGAATTTATCAACCGGCAAAAATATTTGTACTTTTGTATGCTGGAAGCCACCGTTTTTGGTCAATTTCGTTTTAGTCTCTGAATATGCTGTCCCCGATACACTGTTTGTTGATAGTATACCAACAAGATTTCTCCACTTTTATTAAACAGTCATTGTGCATTACAACTGGTGACTTTAATCGCTTTGATACTTTCCTTTTAATTACTTTGGGTTTATTGAACCCTGTCAAGTTCTCCATTTGAACTAATGCTCATCTCGATGGCACCTGTGGATAGTATTCATTTGTTTCATGTTCTTAAAAGAGCCCCGGTTAGCACTGGTGACCACTGTACAATTATTCTCTACCCTAATATATACTGGAAAACTAACCATTATCTTTATTCCCGACCCACCCTTCTTACTCTAAAGGAGAAAAATTGTTTTTCTGAGAATTTGACCAGGCTGAAAGACGCAGCCTCTTCTATTGACCTTTCTGTTTCCCAATATTTAGATTTATTTATCTTGCAAAAATCTTACTGATTATCATCTTAATTTCTGCTATGACCAAACTTGTCCCGTTGAAATTCTTATCTATATTCAAACTGATAAGTTTTCCTCCGGCTACCTTCAGCGATTCCGTCGTGTCGAAGAGACGGCTCACACGACCGGTAGGCGTAAGACTGTAAAAGAACTATCTGTTCTGATTAAAGCGGATGAAAGACGCCTGAATGGAACGTACGTAGTGACCGTTTGGAGAAATAAAAGCTGTCGTGAGGTGTGGACTACCCTCACGAAACTCTGTGACTCACACGTCAGCTTTTGTTCCTACTTTGACGAGCCAAATAACCATTTTGCTTCTACACGTGCCGCAAGCTCCGCCTCCACCGTCTTTTACAACCCATCGTGCAATTAGCCCAATTGATCCGAACGAGTTCTCCAAGTCTGGAGAAGACTCAAGATCAACAAAGCTCATTATACCGATCGATCAGCACCCCGTTTCTTAAGAACATGCACCGATCAGCCCACAGCACTTGTTGCTGAATTGTTCAGTACGGGTTTGTCATCTGAAACAACTCCCGACTGTTGGAGGTCAGTCTGCATGAGAAGAATCCCAAGTACAGGATCATCGCAGTACTGTCCACTTGTCTGCAAATCCGTGTTGTTGAAAGCTTTTTAGAATTTTTGTTGCTCCGAACTATACCCCTATGTAACTCTCATGATTCAGTACAGTTTGCCTCCAAACGCCATCTGTCCACAAGAGACGCAGTTGCCGAAATTTTTCATTCTTTTGTATGAACTTTTTTCTTTGACTATAGTGTCGAATTTGTTTTCCGTTATTTTTTTGTGACCGCAATAATATATACATATATATTCACTGTAAAAGTTCGTAAATTGCTGGAATTTCACAAGTGCAGTGCACAAACCGTTTCTTGACTTGGTCTGTTAATGAATGCTTGCATAAAAAGCTGTCACGAATCTCTTTTACGGGGCATGTGGATGAAATATTTCTCTCACGACCCATCTGTCGATTTCAACTGAACGACCACTAGTTGTCTATTAGAGAGAATCAAGCACCCGAGAACCTTACTTTGAAACTCGTCCGGAAATTGGAACCAATAAACCGATGCGAATTCATTTTTCACCAAAGAGGAACAATGACGGCAGTTTCGGAGATGGTATAAAGGGGCAGTTGGGGATTGGACAACCTGCTAGGTAGCCAAATTACAGCCAAAACAATGGATGCGATTAGCAGTTGTTGATGTTGTTATTGAGCACATGTGAACCAACCAAATTAGGCTTCACACACGGGATCAATACCCACGTTTACGTAACAATCAGCGTACGCGCGTGACCGTGTTTGCAAATTTAGTGCACATATCAGAGGCAAACGAACCAGATCCCGTATCGACACATCACTTTATCTCTTCTTGCAGCAACTGCATCAAACAAATGTGGAATCGGGTTGATGTGGGTATTCCATGGTTCAGGTGAGATGGAGCGAGCGGATTGTCGGCACTGAGCTAGAACCCGGTTTCTCTGGGGTTAATCCGCTGACACAACAAAGTCGCAAGAGTGAGCATGATATAGTGGAGCACATGAAACGGATTAAAAACACTCATCCACTGAACTGTGTCCAGTTCACCAAATCGAGCGAGCCATGTGCAGGTTGACAGAAAATGCGGAGATGCATCGGAAAAAATGTGCGGGTATAGATCAGGTGGAGTGCGTGTTTCCCATTTTCAGGATTGGGGTCCGAAAGACTTTGCAGCCGATTTGTGGAAGACAACAAATCATAGGCAGTACAGGAAATTTTGTCGTTATTTCCAATCAGGTCAGACTGCGCAGTTAGACCGTGTTTTATGAGCCGCAGTGGTTCATTTTATTCTTTCCTCTATCAAGTGGGTATTCCATTTTACACTTAGGTATTGATCTTGTAAATAGTGTGAGAGTCATTGTGGCGACCGACGAAGTTCGAATCCTTATGTGCTACTGTATGATGGCAGTGATAAACTAGGCCTTAGTCTCGGAGTTAACAAAACTCCTGGGCTCAGTGTGGGAGAGAGAACAGATTCCAACTGAATGGTGTGAATCGGTCATCATACTGATTTACAAGAAAGGTGACAAATCCTCTTGTGAAAACCACAGAGGAATTAGTTTAATCAACATCGTCTCTAAACTTCTCGCCGGATCATACTCCGTCGACTGTCTGTAGCACGTAAACGGTGCACACGGGAGAACCAGGCTGGTCGAGGTTGTATCGACCACATCTTCACTCTTCGCCAAAGTCTGGAGCACTGGCATTTCTTTCGTGGACCCACTATTTCTGTCTTCCTGTATCTGAAAGCCGTTTTCGACTCAGTCAACCGGTGTAAACCCATTCACTGCCTTACCTAGAAGGGTGTACCCGAGGAGTTAATTTCATAATTACGACACCTTTATACTAAATCCCAATATCGTAACTCTACAGTGTCCTCATTAGCATGCAATCTAGTTAACAAAGATCAGGTTTTCTCAGAATTCGTTAACAGTTTTGGGATTTAAACCCCTTTTTTGATTATAATTTTTATTTTTTCCCTCACTCCAACCTGTACATTTGTCCTGTACATGATGTCGACAGAAGTTATTACAATACAATACAAGTCGAGTTCGTGCTGACGGCACTTTTTCGCCCGAGTTCAACACGGAAAGTGGAGTTCATTAGGGTTGTCCTCTTTCCCTTTTTCTATTTAACTTTGTGATAGATTTGATTATGGAAACAGCAACCGCTTGTAGGTATTTTCCAGAATAAAACTTGGTCTTCCTCCTTACCTAGGCGACAAAAGGGGGTAGCCTGCAAACAGATACCAAAACCTGGACAGATTACAGTGGGTGCTGAAAATAATTGTTGGAAGCAAAGGGAAGAGGGATGAAGTAAAGAAACTCAAAAGTCTGGCTCTAGAATGGTCAAACAAACGAGCCTCCCTATTCAAATCAAACGACACTCGGCTTACCCAGAATGGCCATCAGAATGCTTGGTTCACGAGATTTGATTTGTTGCAAGAACGGGACAACTTCGTCCATGACCATCCATTTGTCCAAATGATCTAACAATTTTCCGAGACAAATCAGACAATTGATACGCGTCTGTGTTGTGTGCAGGGATGGGGTTGAGAAGAAGTGGTCAAAATGTGAACAACCAGTAAACAGTAGAATAAAGCACGGAAAGTAAAACTCTTGAATGATTAAGCTGACAGTAGACAGCTGTTGTCTGTCTTAACACACACATATCCACTGCCAAACTTAGTTTGTAAATTATCACTACCATGAACACTATCTGAACATGACGTGGAACGGTGAACTACAGCGAGTTTCAATGCGGTTCATTCCTTCCACAACAGGGCATATGCGGTGCCGGATAATGTTTGGTCGGCAAAACCTACATGAATCAAGAGACGATTATCGCATTCGGTCGCGGCTAAGGATAATCAGTCTGTGAGGAGTACTTTGTATGCATGGATGTCGAATTAATTAGGCGTGAGAAGTGAATACACAGTCCCGGAGAAAGAAGACATATCGAATATATAATGTGGACGACCAAAAACATGTTGGTGGGATAGCTGTTGTGCCTGAAGAATTAAACTAAACTAAATTAAACTAATTCTACCTAGAACTGTACGCACCAATCGGTATGCATCTGGTCCACTGCGGTAAAGACTATGGGATTTCAGTCGGAACTCAGATAATGGAAAAGAGCAAAGATGCGACGAGAATACTGCTGACCACATCTGGTCGCGTTCGCTGGAGCCCACGCCAAGGAGTCTAATTCAGTTCGGTCAGCTCAACTGCAAGTTTCACGTTGTTGGTGAACTATGGACTGATCGCGTTTTAGTTCGACTCACGTGGTCATCTATCAAGGCAACGCAGCGACCACTTTGATTAAGAATGAGCAAACTTCTTCAATTCCACTCCAATCGTTATTGAAAACGAAAGGAAAAATAGATAAAAATCGGATTTAAAATAGACGGGAAGTTGAGAACCCGATCCAGCAGTCCATCCCCACCACGCAGTAGTCTACAGTATTTACTGAATCGTTCGGGTGCTGGTTACGCCAGACTCCAAAAAACACCACGGTCTGTGCAATGACTGCTCCCGCATTTGTCTTTTTTCTTGTAATAGTTCCACTGTGTTGCTACACAACACAGCACTGTTAGAAGTAAACATCGATTATCAGAGTTGAACTATTTCAGCGTTCCTCTTCAATTAAATTGCTGGCAAAATATTTTAGAACGCATAAAGTAAGCTCCAGAGCGGCCGAAGAAAAACTATGTGATTTAGAGTATGCTGACGACATCGTCTGTCTGTTTGAACGTAAGGAGGCGCAAAGTGCACTTGACAGACAAGTTCTGTTACTTTATTCGATATGCACTTTTTGCCCTCAAATTGATGCTGCAAGATTGAGCGTCGTCTCCTCCTGCTCTGATGCCTAAGAATCCCCGATAGTGAATTGCTTTTTTCACTTCCGGTAGCTCAATAAAGAGATAACCGCTTGCACTTCCTGTTTCAAGCTAAGTACGCTGGAGTGAAACACATTCTGAGCCGTCGTGCAGTTTACTTAAAATCGAAAAGTCGCGTATACTGCGCAACTGTACAGTCACACCGAATACATACCATAGTAGGCTTCACGGGTTAGGACACACGTTGCGCCTACCTAGTTATCGTTTACAGCCCCGCGTCTTGTTTGCTGTTACTGTTCCATGTTGGAGGGGATGATGTGCAGATCAACAGATGACATGAGACACGAAGGGACGCTCAGAGTGGGAGTTTCCCTTCTTTCAAGTTGGGGTCCGGAAGAATCTATAGCTGTCTGGTTGAAGACGATGAAGATAAAGCAACGAATCGACAGTAGTGGTGTTCTTCCTGTCACTTCTTATCAGACCCGAATGATTAAAACAGTGTCTACGCGTGGTTAGATTGTTTACTCCATGTGTTAACCACAGGGATTAACTTGCTTTTCTTCTATTTCGAAATAGGCCAACTCCCCAACCACCTTACAAATTTGTACTCACTTAGTATACTTTATAAGCTTGCAACGATCAGCTAAGTAAGATGTTAAGAGAAATCAAGCGCAGAAATCTTTTACTTCGATACGGGAACACTCAAGCCCTGGAATTGGCAGTGAAGAAGCACAAAACTGAATCGATCCGATCAACAGTGTTATTGTCAACCAACAAAGTTAAGGGGCACAAGCAGAGTTTGAACCTTGAATTATTTTATTACTGATTTGAGAAACTATCACTTGGGTTTTCGAAAACCGTCACTTTGAATTGAGAAAGAAACACTGTGGTCAGATCTGCTTCCGTTCAGTGCACCTTACTGCTTCATTAATCAGACGTTTTTCTACCCCAGGATTGACCACCTGTCTTCTCACACTCTATCTATGTTGGAATGAGACAGATCTCAGTTGTGCTTGTTATCGAGCTCGGTGGGTCGGTGAGGCCGTGCGATTTGCGCGAGACAGCTAAGCTGGACCTGACTCGATAAGTAAGAACGGCGACGCACTGCTTCGTGCGCGCTACAGCTAAGGCACAACTGGTGCGAGTTACTCGGGTATTGATGACAGCCCATCACAGTAACTAGGACCAGATACGAGTTCCGTGCTTACGGTGCGATGCACCTCCTAGTTTCGGATAACAAAATTTGTAGTGGGTTATTGGTGATTGGGTTGTTTCTCATCAATGGCCTAGCAACTACAACCAATTATGCCTCAACTGTAACTCGCCCGTTCCCGTCTCAAAAGCCATTCTAACAGAACCGAATAGAACGCAGTCGATTCGTTTGATAAAGAGATATTTTTGAACTTAAAGGCGGAGGATCGTTGCCAGAAGCGTTGCGGCATAAAGAACAGCCACAAATTACAGCGGAAATTTTGCACAACCTCTCGCGGTTGGCAAGCCATACGATGGAACAAATAATGACCACTGTGAGGACTCTAGGAACGAACAACATGCCAGACAGAAGTCTGCCTCATTTCAACACGGAAGAAACGGGGGAAGACAGCTTGTCCAACACGGGGTACAAAAAAACGTGATCACTTGATCAATGAGGTGGATTTAACCACAGCGTTTCTTTCTCAATTCAAAGTGACGGTTTCGCAAATCAAAGTGATAGTTTCTTAAATCAATCTTAAAATGGTAGAGAACTCGAAGCATACAAGTGACTGCGAGCATAACATTGACCTTTATATGCAGGATGGAGACACACTGGAGCTTATTCAATAAGCAATCGTCTATAATACGTTTCAAAACCATTCGACACCAGTTTCAAAGCGGAAGTGGGGATTTTAATTGTGAGAATATAATTTGGAACAAAGAGTTCTTTTTATGGATTGAATCAATACCGAGAGGAGACTAACTGCGCGAGGTGTAAACGTTTCGTTCACGTTTCACCAATAACTGGCGTAAAACAATCTGGCATATTAGGCTGATTAATTATAGTGAACGAACGTGTACACTTAAACTAAGAATACCAGAAATAGGGACGAGAGATCAACACCATGTTAAGTGAAGTGATCGCGTCAACAACTTTTGAGCGCACGAAACCCGGGCAGTAAGATCGAATAAACAAAGATTCACTTAACTGCTCAGATTATAGCATTGCGTTTACAGAGCAGATGTTTCAAAGACGAAATACTGTTCAGTGTCCTGTTGACATCAGGATTTCCTTATAAAGTGACAGTCGACGTAGAATTGATTGACTATAGTGTGCATTCTATTTTTTCTACCCTATTTTTATTACACACAATTTGAGTTACAATAAAAGGGGAAATCCTGTAGATAAACAGCACACTGTAAAAGGGAGTAGGGGAACATCCATTTAAGATGCAGTTTATTGATTCTGCGCTTAAAGAGAGTAAGGGTGTAAAGTTGGAGAAAGACAAGGTGGAGGGGTGTTCTAAAATTTGGCCGTACGGTGAAAAAAAGAAGATTGGAGCAGAGAAGTAGGATATTTGGTGAACGAAATATAATAAGGATGATTAGAGGCATGTGTACGGGACGGGCGAGCAGAAGTTACAGGAAGAGGCACTGCGGATACAAGCTCCGAAGAACAAAAACCAAAGTAAAAATGGTAGAGTAGGGACGTAAAAGCAACTGTCCGACGATGAGCTAGTGACTACAGATTGGAGATTAGGGAAAGATCATCGATCAACCGGACGGCATTTTGTTGAACACAGTCAAGTAGGGGAAGAGAAGAAGACAGCCTCATTGCACACATGACTGCAGTATTCAAGAGCAGGGTGGATTTGAGCTTTGTACAGTAGAAGACGAACTGGGGAGAAGCGTCCGGTGCGGAATAGGAAGTCAACCCTGAGCGCAGCACGAGAAGCATGCTGAGCTATAAAAGGGAACAGGCATAGAGAAGAATTTAAAGGTAATTTAAGAAGGGAAAAAGTCCTTGGAACTCATTTGGGTGGAATCAAAAGATAAATTGGCAGGAAATTAATGGTTTTACAGAAATTGAAAGGTTTTTGAAGCATTGAATATAACATGGCTGGCAAAACCCCGAGAGCAGAAGTGCTCAAGATCTGAGTCCAGTGACGCATTACCAGTACTACGATCACGATCGATATTGGTTTGGGCATAACGAGTAGTGCGGTAGGAAAGAGAGCAGTGGAAGGCAGCGTCATCGGCATAAGAATGGATTGCGTTGACAATTTTAGAAAAGGTCATTGATAAGTAGAAGGAAGAGGGTGGGCGTAAGTACTGAGCCTGGGGAGAACGTTAGCATTCACACGGAACGGTGGAGATAAAGTCCCATCAAAAAGGATGGATCTGGTTCGGTTATTGAGGAAGCTTGATATCCACCTTAGAGCGCCGGAGGGAACCCGAACATGGTCAGTTTCACCCATGTTAAACTCGGTCGAAGGTCTTTGAGATGTCAAGGCACATTAGCTAAAATTCACGATCCGAAAAGTCAGGATTTCAGAGTCTGGAGGAGGCGACTGATTGATGGATAAGGGCGTGGACACTAGCTTTGGGCAGAAAGGAGTGGAAAGTGTAGTTAGGGACTTGAAAAGGGGTGGTATCTGACGAGGGAGGGGGGATTTGTGTTTCGGTTACGAACAAAACTAGCAGAGAAGAAGAATGGAGAAAATTGTGTACAGAATCAATATTGCGGTTCAGACCGCGCATGTTGGTGAATGCGATGAGCGTGTTTGCATTACAAGTGCGTAGAGCGAGCGAGAGAGCCCGCATGATTTTGTATTGTCATGTTTATGCTGTGAGAAGGAAACCGGCAATCATGATCCTGAGACTTGGAGTGGCGGACCAATTAAGTCCTCAATAAATCAGACGGGATAGTGAGCCGGGCGACGGCAGAACCGTTTATTGAGATGACAAACACGAATAGTCGGTGCGGCTTTGTATCCGGCGCGATCAGTACAACGGCAGACAACAATCGCGTTAATCCAACCCGGATTCACAATATTAGGGTTGCACTGCATGTTCGCGCAGGTTTGTCAAGGTAATGACCTTGAGTAACAGAAAGTCGATAAACTGAAAAATCAATGAGGTTTGGCAGTGAACCATCACATTACGTTCAGGAGTTTTGGTGACTGAGAACTCCCAAGCGTTGTGTAAGAGCGGCGACAATCTTCCGGGATTCCACAAAGTAGGTATGGGGTGTATGGCGTGAGGTGAATGGAAGATAATCTTGCTCGAATGTGTTCTTGAGTCTCCCTGTGGCAATTCTCCTGGTTCGAACGAAAAACAACGGAGGAATCTAAAAGTCACGCTTTTATGATCGGATCTGACTTGGATGAGAGCAAGAACAAAACAGCACAACAACTCACGAAAACAAATAAATCTGTCAACAGTAATAAGAATGAGGAATTCGGAACTTTTCGGATAGTACGTGTTACAACTGCGTGACAGAGAACGCAAGACTCACGGTGAGCAGATCGGATCGGAAGAACAGTTTCTGAATGCGCGGAAGGACGGCATTTTTTAATGTAGTCAATTCCATCATCTGACTGATAGACGGTAAAGAGCGGAGACACAATTCCTACAGGTATTTATAACGAAAGAGATACGGAGAGGAGCATCATAATTGAACAACTGAGCAAGCAATTAAAACAAAAGCAGCTGAAAAAGCCAACCACCAGCTGACATACATAAATCTAGTGAGATAGCATTGGAGAAAAAAATATATAGTCAATGATGAAAACAATATGAAGTGGATTTTATTTATCACAGCTGTAATGTCCGAGGAACAAGACACCGACATTTTCACGGAAACTATCCATAAATACATAAAAATGCACTGATCTTGTACTTCTATGAGCTGTCTAAAGTTAAGCGCAGGGCAGAAACTTGACACCGAAATAACCAATCATGCTGAGAAACATTCACTGCTGAGTGACAAATGTCCCAGTAACTTGAGGACAAGCACGGGGCCAACGCGCCGACAATGATAAAGGTTTAGGTAAAGATAACTGAAAGGAAATGGGGAAAACAGAGAACAGGAAGAACAAACGAACAATTTTTTTTTAGTTTCACCGTACACATTTCGATATTTTGGTCTACTACGGAGAACTCCGTTTCAACAAACCATACCTCTATCGCGCCACTGAATTCTATTCTGAGCCATATATCAGCATCTCTAACCATCTGTAATGTTCACCCCTTGGGTCCCAGCCTGAAAGATGAGCTGCACCAAGCGAAACCATAGCTATGGCTAAGCTCCTCATATTTCTGCCAGATCAAAGTCTGAACGCTGCAACGCTCCTTCTAGCCTTGACAAAAAACGTGCAAAAAGAGCACGGAAAGGTAGACGACTAGAAGGTATAGGCAAAACATGACCGAGTCATTGGAGGACGTGAAAAGCGACTACTTCCGTTAGAGAACGACTAGCCGCACCCAACACAAGACGACAAATCTCGTCGTTGCTCACATAATGTTCCCATTAGAAATGAGCAAAGCTTCGAAAGCATCAGTGGTCTTATTCAGAAGGTTGATTAGCACCCTCACCTCGGAGAAGCTAGGTCTCCCAACCGTAAAGTAGAACACTACGAACCGCGGCTATATATATATATATATCACACTTGTCTGAGGACAGTTTGTGTGCCAGGCAAATTATGGTTCAATAATCATTATAAAAACGAAAAGATGTTCCCTGGAGAAGTCGAATGTTCTTTTGGCGATACAGGTATCGCAGGTTGGTAAAACCTGTCCTAGCTTTTGCTATTCGTTATATGATCACCTCCAGCTGCGATCAAGCTACTGAGGTAATTAAAGCTCTCGACTACTTCTAACTGATTACCTGAAAGGATGAATGCAGTCACAGGCTTCTGCCGGTTTTGTACAAGCATTTGCACCTGGATAGTACATCGCACATACCATGCCTGGATACGTTCATCGCCAAACGGTTTAAGGCATGTTGGACTACCTGCCTTTTTTCTAATGTTCATTCAAATGGGCAACCGAAAGATAGCAACCAAAACCGGCGCACGATAGTGCATGGCTAATGGTTGTACAAACCGAACTGTCATTGGAATATTTTAAGGAGTTCTACTCCACTGTTTGCTAGACCGGACAAAGCATTCCGTAGAAAATCATCTGTGACAAAGTAGAAGAGAAATGGGGATATAGGGCAGCCTTGTTGCACTCCAATGGAGACAGCAAAGAGTGGTGAAAGCTGGCAATAGACTCTCACAAGACCTGAGGTATGAAGATAAACTCTTCGAGGATCGACACATCCCTCTCAGGTACTCCATTTCTAAACAAACAGTTCCATAGTGAGGTTCTATAGATGGAGACGAAGGCCAAGCAGTTTCGTTCAGTTTTTTAAAACCATTACCCTGCATTTTCATGCGCCGGTTTTAGTTGCTGTCTCTTGGATAAAAGAGCAGAATAAAGATTGGAATGTTGAAAGCAAATTCAAGCGGAAGATTGAGAATTCATATAGAATAATGATAGGGGAATAATGAGTGAATGANCCCAGCCATATCACTCAGTGTCTCTAACCATCGGTTACGATCATCCCGAGGTTCCCAGCCAGGGAGCCTCACAGGGTCTATGTGATCTAGTCTCCTGATTAGAGTTTTCATACCCTCATCCCAGGTCTTAGTTTGACCACCTTTGATCTTTTTCCATCCTCTACCAGCCTTGGCAACCTATCTGGTGGCATGCGTAACACATGTCCCAACTAACCCAATCTATGGAGGTCGGCTACCTGTTCCAGTGGACGACCGCGATTACCTAAAACTCTACGCCTAANCTCAGCATTGCTAGTCCGGTTACCCCACCACACTCGTGCAATGCTACGTAGACAGCGGTGTTCGAACACCGACAGTCTATTTTCATCCTGTTCCCGTAACGGCCAAGTCTCTGTACCGTAGAGCAGGACTGGCCGAATTGCTGCAGCATATACTCGACCCTTCACAGACAGCCGGATGTCGCGACGGCGCCACAAATGTTTCAAGTTTGCAAATGCCAACCGAGCCTATGTATCTGTGCCGACACTTCATCTGTGATGCGTCCGCCAGGTGGGATATAGCTGACCAGATAGCAAATGTCTAAGAACACAATGATCGTTGGTCTGTGGTAAGCATGACGGTGCTCTAGTCGGAGGGCATACATTTGATGGATACATTCATGACCGGCGTGAAACCCAGCCTGCTCCTTACACGTATTGCACGATCTACGATGCATGACGGACACCAACAGCTTATCGCTTATGGATGGCGCAAATACTGCTCGGGCACTCTCTCTTTTCACCCCTCACCCCCGACGAGGGGACTTGCTCGGTAGAAAAAACTTCAGAGAACAGAACTTGAGATTCTCTAACAAGCTTTATTCCACCATTTTTAGATAGAGCTGGCAAAGAACATCGGAGCCTGGCACTTTGTAACACCCCAGGGCTTGGATCCCCTTGCGATATCGACCTTAGAAGGGGTCTGTCGACACAGACTGTGGGACGTGTGCCGGAATAAGTGTGGGAGAAGCTGCAGCTGGTGACCAGTTAAACTTTCGGGAAGTGGGCCGCCCAGTGTGCAAGATGTCACTGTTAATTGTGACTGGGCGAGTTGTAAGCTTCATAAATCGTTTCGCTTACACCAAAGGCCTACCTACGGATGACTCGAATGAGAGGGAATTCTCCATGCTGATAGTTCGCTCGATCTCTGATGCGCGTTGAGACCACCAAATTCAGTTTCTGGGTAGGTTTGTCTCGTTACAAGCCGTGCTTCGTTACGCTCACAGCCGGTCGGAATTGATCGGCGTGCGTCAAGAAGCCACAGAGACTCAGTGAAAATCCACGATATCACGGCACGTGTCAGATCACAACTTACCAAGCTAGTAAAATACATAGCATCCTTGATAAGCGACCAGTGCTGATTGGTGCTATCAGGTGGGTTGATTCTCACTTTTCAGTCAGCGCGTTTTCAAAGACGGTTAGGCATTATGATTGAAACCTCACAACGCACTCCAACTGTCGCTGTGTATTACGTTTCGAAAGCCCACTGAAGTACATGGAGGGCTTGGCGCAAACTAATGCGTGGTCGGATTCGCGGGGATTGCTCCAGTACGAGCGACAATCTTGTATGAACCCCATCGTTTTTGGCTCATAACGATGCCGTCGATCAGCG